GCTAAATTTATGCGGTTCAAAGTCCTTCCATGCATAGTTAGGTTACCACTAGCCACCAGGTGTCGGAGATGGTTTCTAGGACCATCCTACCGCTCAGTTTGCCAACTAATCTGGATCTTGATTCAAAGACGGTGACCCCTACTTCCCATCATGATATGAATTTATTCTCTGCCCCCCAGCACAGAAAGTGTGCAGAAAGTGAAGGAAAAACAGGTCTGAACCTGTTTTTGAAGGAATTTTGAAGGAATTTTCTATAAAGTAGCTTGTGGCTTGTGTTATGATTTTTAGTAGCAATAATCATCCTATTATCACCCTGCCTCCATTTCCTCACCTCTAAAATGGGGACAATAAGCGGGCTGACATCAGCTTATGTCACAGGATGATTATTGCTACTAATAGGTATGATTATTACTACTAAATAGGTAGTAACAATAGGATGATTATTGCTACTAAAAATCATAACAGGAGTCACAAGCTACTCTATAGAAAATTCCTTCAACCATTAACTAGGTAAGACTGTAAATGGAGGATTGGCTTCCTGTGTATCATCCACATGCCTACTTCAAAACAAAGCTCTCTCTTGTCAGGAATGTACTCAGTAATGCAGGGCATATAATAAATACACAATATGTTTTTTTTCTTTTGGGGAAGGATTATACAAAATGCAATTCATCAAGATTTATAGTTTTACTAAAAGCAGTGAGGATATCTGTAACCAATCAAAATATGAAAAAGCTTCATGGAGGTTTTTCCAAATTTGACAATGGTGCTAAAATGTGCTTGCGTGTGTGCGTGTGTGTGTGTGTGTGTGTCTGGGTTTATAGAAAACATTTCCAAGTACAAGTTGTGAAACTGAAAGAAACTTTCCTAAGCTTTATTCAATAGGCCACATTAAAGGAAAGACAGAATTATCTTTTAATTTTCCATGAATATGACAAAATTGTCATCAATATAAAGGTGATCAATGACATGTTGGGGAAGAAAGGATAAAAGTATGTCAGACAACTGATAAAAATGTTATTTTTCTGGATTTTGTGATGTTCGTGACATTTGTAAGCTTTCTAAAATTTCTAATTTCCTATGATTCCTTTTATCATCTTGGTACCTAATTTTCCCTTATTTTTCTTAAGTGGGCCCCAAACTGGGCTCACCTAACTACCAGGATAAGGTATTATAGCTTCCTTATGCAAATATGAGCACAAACAATCCCTCTTCTCATTTTTCTACCCTCTTTACAGTTAAGATGGCTCACAGCAGCCTGACTGCCTGCTGCAGCAGGACAACCGGCGGAGTGAGGAGGCCACTGGGTAGTCCTGGGAGAGGGTGGTGGCTGGAGGGATTCCTGGGGACTGCGGGGGGCCCTGAAGAGGTGGCTGGCTTTGCAATCAGTTTTAAATAGGGTCAACAGGGGTTGCTGAGGAAGTGAGGGGGGGGGTGGAAGAAAGAAAGGATGACTTCACAGCTCGTGTCTGCCACTCTGATTTTTCCCTGGGGGCTCTGACTCACAGAGTCTGGATTTTGGGAGGGCTGGCGGGGGTGGCGGACAGCAATGCCTCTCACCTGGCATCCGCAGCACCTCCACGTCCCCAACACCAGCGCTCGGGCAGCCGCCCACGCAGAGCCGTGAGAACGCCCGGGAAGCCCGCAGGCTCTGGGCACCCGGGCCCCGCCGCAGCCTGCCTGGACCCTCCTGGCCCCGCGTGGGCGGACACGTGCGGCCCCTCCTGGCGCGCGCCCCCACGTGCAGCCCCGCGTGCGCTCTCCGCTCGCTCCCTCCCTGGCCCGCCGCCTGGGCCGCTGCCAGCTCCTGGAGGCACCTACGCCCGCAGATGGGCAGGGGATGCGGGTGGGGGCTGCCCTTGGGGTGGAGGCCGTGGAGCGCATCCCGCTGTGTGGTCAGGCACGTGGCTTCGTTGCCCTGAACCTCCCTTTCCCACTTTAGGAGTAGGAATGCCGGCTTCCTGAGAACCTGTGCTGGCTTGTTGAGCGTTTCCAGCTTTAAGAAGACTATAACAATGGTAGTAATCATAGGAATGACGGTCATTTACGGAGGGCTCATGCTGTGCCAGGCCCTGTTCTAAGCACTCAACCTTCCTAGCAACACCATGATGTCGCCCGCTTATTGTCCCCATTTTAGAGGTGAGGAAATAAAGGCAGGGTGATAATAGGATTATTGCTACTAAAAATCATAACACAATGGCCGTTGTCAATAGGAAGGATAGGAACAGGGCCATGGCTGACTGAGGGCTTAAATGTTCCAGCAACTGACACCTAGGCTCACATCAGCTCCTTACATCTCTCCAGCAGGGGCACTTGTATCATCCCCATTTTACAGATGAAGACTGAGTCTCCAGGAGGGGAGGTCACTTGCCCATGATGACCCAGTTGCTCAAGTGGACAAGCCAGGACTCCAGCCCATGCCTGTTTGAACAGACTCTTAGCCAAGGTCACTAGCAGCCATTCCTGAAGGTTTCTGTCACTCCAGGGTGGACTTCTCCGTCTTAGATGGACAGGGTGCCTACTGTCTGTGACCGCAGAGTGAGGCTCCACCAGGGAAGTGCTGCACCGAAAGGCACTCAGCAGGGTAGAGGAGGAGTTGGATTAAAAGTGGGGCTCAGGTCCCAACCCACCTACCACACCAAACTGGCCAGAGCCTGCTTCCTGTCTCAGGGTTCAGGTAAAGGAGCCCAGAAGAATCACTTCCTGTAAATGTTCCTCCTCTTGTAGATTTCAGGCCAGGCAGCCTGGCAGAAGATCCCTGTGTCTTGTTTTCTGTCAAGTCCTGGTGGTCTTGCCATCTCCCCTGTACACCCGCTGGCTCCTCCATTCATGAGCCCCAGAGGCCTGGACCAAGAGGCTGCCAGGGAGGCTTGGAGCACATCTGAGGGGTGGGCACCTTGGCACTTGTCTGGAAGTCTCCCAGGTTTGGCCCCAGCCCACTCTGGAGACCTTTGCTCCACCTCCCTGCCATGCAGACCCCTGGCTCAGCCCAGAAAGCCCCTGGGGTTTTTCAGGATCCCAGATCAACAGAACCTGATGGGCCAGAAAGGATGCCAGCCACACAAGGTCACACAACAATCGGGGGCAGAGGCCACTCTCTACCACCTGAGAAGGATGATGGGCATTGGTCTCCTGCCCCCTGCACCCCCATCCTGAGGTTAACTGTGAGGCCTTGGAGAAGTGCTCATCTATGTGCCCAGTAGGGGCTGTGTGGCTCTCTCTGACCCACCCTGCTGGCACATAATTGAAGGTCATCCTGGGGATCAGTTGGGGCCCGCAGGAACTGGTCCCAGGTGGCTGGCTAGCTGGGGTCCTCTACACACAGATGTCCCACTCCTCTACCCATGGTCTTGACCTGAGAGACCCCTCTCCCTGCTGAGGGTGTAAGGGGTGCCATCTTCTTCCTACACAAGAGGGCGGTGCCCAGATCCCCTGACTGTGGAAGGGGCAGTGTGGTTCATGAGAGAGCCCAGGCCAGATAAGAAAGGTCCCAAATGTTTACGAGCACTGGCCTTGTGTCAGGTCCCCAGCTGGCCAGGGTAGAAGGCCCCACACACAGTGTCCCCATCATCAACACCCACCCCCACCCCACATACAGTGTCCCTACCACCAACACCAACCCCCCCCCCGACATACAGTGTCCCCACCACCAACACCCACCCCCACCCCATACACAGTGTCCTCGCCAACAACACAGGGCACCAGCAGCTGTACTTGTTAATCAGCGAACCTATCTTAACAACATCATCATCACCCTGACTCTTTAGGCTAGTCTATGTGAGGCTTACTCTGGGTGTTGCACATTCTACAGGTTTGAGCAAATGTATCATGACATGTGTCTGCCATGACTAGATCACACAAGGTCGTTTCACTACCCTAAAATTCCTCCGTGCTTCACCTGTTCGCTTTATGCACTTTATTTCTTCGTTTTCAGAATGAAAACAGCTTTACTGAGTTTAAAATCATGCATGCACTCAATAGCACCCTCCTATTCCCCAGACGACCACTGCTGAGAGTGTGGGCTATGTTTCCTTCCAGGTGCTTTATGTCTGTATCAACATAGCCCACCACACGTGTATAAGAAGTACCCAAGAGTCCATAGGAGCTAATATTGGGAATTGGCATTGACTGAGTACCTATTATGTGCTTGACCTCACTGGACATTAAAAATTTTTTTTTTCTGAGACAAGATCTCACTCTGTCACCCAGGCTGCAATGCAGTGTGGCACGATCATAGCTCACTGCAGCTTTGAACTCCTGAGCTCAAGGGATCCTCCCACCTCAGCCTCCTCAGTAGCTGGGACCTCAGGTCCACACCACCGTGCCCTGCTTTTTTTTTTTTTTTTGGTAGGGACAGGGTCTCTCTGTGTTGCCCAGACCCGATCTCCTGGCCTTAAGCGATCCTCCCACGTTGGCCGCCCAAAGCGCTGGGATTACAGGCATGAGTCACTCCACCTGTCAAACCTCATTGGACATTTAACCCTCACAGCAACACTATGCGGTGGCCATGATCTCTGCCGCCATTTCACAGATGAGAAAACTAAGGCTCAGAGAGGTGAAGGTCCTTGCCCAGGGTCCCAGGGATAGAGAGCGTCAGAGCTGTTTCTGATCAAGTGACAAAGAGAGAGTCAGGGCTGGAATTTGAGTCAGGTTAGCTCTGACTCTGTACTTAGAAAACCAGAAAGCATCCTGGTGTGAGGAATTCTCTCCTACCCCAACCCTGGGGACAGAGGTTCTGAGCCAACATGGGAAGAGCCTGAAGAAACAGCTTGCTGGATGGTGGGCCCTTGGAAGATGGAGTGGGAAGCCCCAGCACCCAGCGGGGTGGACCTTTCTCTTCTCAGTCCTGGCTCTAGAAGACTCAGGAGCCTGAACCTGGGAAAGAGAAGGTGATCTCTTTTCCTCAGCCTGTGTCTGCAGGACTCACATCAGCAGAAAGTACACACCCACTCAGAGGAACGCACTGCCACATTCCACACACTCACATGTGCACACCCTACCTCTCATGACATCCAGGCTCTCTCCCGTCCGCTCTCCCATTTCCGCCTCGTATCCAAGCCACCTCCTCCAGTTGCCTACATTGCGCACTGCACAATTGCAAGGGGACCAGTCACATGGACTGCAATGTGAATGGCACCCCCCAGAGCTGTGTGACACTGCTCACGTTGAGCAGGGAGACTTGGCTCATTTTACACTTGGCAGAAACTGATGCTCAGAGACAGCCAGTGACTTACCCACTGGTCAAAGAGTGCGTCAGTGCTTGCAACAAAAATCTGTCATCCTTTATCTCCCTTCCCCCATGCCTTTCAAAAAGAATTCTCTCTAAAACTTTTATATGCTTTAAAAACAAATTGTTGTTAAACTTCCGTCTATCTAGTTATTTTTGAGGAGGTTCCGTACAAAATCTTAAGGGTACCAAAGAGCATAAAGAGAAAGTCATTCCCCTCCCACCTGCGAGCCTGGGACACTGGTTCCGTTGCCCAGAGGCAGCCGCTGCTGCTGGTTGTCGTGTGTCTGGTCCGGAGACACTCTAAACATCATTTACACAAATGGGAGCATGTGATGCTGCCCGCACCCCGGCAAGGGCTTTGTATGCCCTGCACCGTGCCTGAACCTTGCAGCCGCCTGACTCTGTTTTACTGTCAACAGGATTCCCTTACATGGAGGCCCGGCTGCCTGTTTCGCAACACCAGCGCTGGCGTTCACTTAGGGAGCTCTGATCTCTCGCTGGAGCAAACCATGCTGGGAGAACTCCCTTGCCTGTGTGTCATTTCACATGTTGGAAAAATCACCTGAAAGGTAAAGTCTTCATTTCTTTTAAACCTAAACATTTCATTTTTGAAACAAGCTGAAACAGCATAAAAGGACATATAGTAAAGTAAAAGAGAAGGTCCGAGTTGCCCCCACTCCTATTGATTCTACTCCCTGAATCACTGAATAAACAGGAGGTCATGGAAGAGGGGGGTGGCCAAGGAAGACCCATAAGAAGAGGAGACACGAGCACAGGTGAGTGATGACTAGGAGTGAGCCCTTCAGACAACGGGAGAAGGCTTTCTAGAGCAGGGGAACCTCACACGCAAAGGCCTGGAGATAGGAGAGTACAGCTATGCTGGAAGGGCAGCCAGGGGACCCACATGGTTGGAGCAGTTGGGTAGGGGGGTAGCGGAGAATGGTGGGAATGAGAACAGAGGTACCTCCTGTCACCCCAATCCCTTATCCAGTCCTCAGCACCCCACTCCCAGCATCCACAAAACCAACCTCTGCCTTCTCCTTCCTTCTGCCCACCCCCAGCTCCCACCTCGACGAAAAGGCATCTTTCCTCTTGCTCAGGGCGTATTCCCTCTCTCCTCTGGGCTGAGTCCCTTCTTACCTTTCCTGCCACCGCAGACACTGGCTCCAGCTGCAGACCCTTGGCCTCTGCTGTCGCCGCTCCTTCCGGGTCCTCCACACCCCTTTCCACCTACCTGGCTCCTGTTCAGCTTTTCAGATCCAGGCTAGGACCTGCATCCCCACAAAAGCCCTCCTTGCGGCCCAGGCTGGGCCAGAGGCTCCCGGGCTCCTCCACCACCCACACTTTCCCTTTTCCACCTCGAGCTATTTGACAAGGCGGTGAGCTCCCGGGGTCAGAGAAGTGCTCAATTCCTCTGTGTGTTCCCAGCTTAGAGCTTACAGTTTGGCCAGATGTGCAGGCAACACTCCTGTGGCTTCAGGCTGAGGCCTCAGGCTCCCCAGAGCCTTTTGGCACCCTGTTTCCCTGCTTGTCCCCTTGCTTGTCCTGCTACCCTAGGGACAATTGGGTCTTGACCACATTGACCTACCTGCTGCCCACAAAACTGATCTGGTGCTTCCTGTCTCTCCCTCAGGCCCCAAACTGCCACCACCACTCCCATCTTCCTAACCAAAAATCTCCATCAAAACCCAACTCCAGCCTGCCTGGATAGGGGCAGAGGAAGACATGCCAGATGGGAAGGCCAGCGAAGCATATTCACTATGTGACCTCCAGCACCTCCTCTTGTTTGGGTGTCCCTCAGCTTTCTCGTCCACAGCCTGAGGATGCAGCGGTCCCCAGAGCACAGGATGGGGGTGAGCGGCAGATGGCAAGGCCCTGTCCTGGCTCCTCCCGTTGGCTTTGGGCTCCCTGAGGTGCTGTAGTCATCTCTGGCTCCCTCTCAGCGCCCAGAACTTAGAAGCTTCTCAGCAAATATTTATGAAATGTATGAAGATGCCATACTTTATGGTTTACACTGGCACAAGCGTTACTGTGTTCTGTCCTTACCGGCATCCCTCCATTATAGGCCTGCAAGCCCAGGCTGCTTGCAGGGGCAGGGGATTGGTCATGAGCTTTGGAAAGAGCCATACCAGACATTCAGGGAGGTTGTGGAACCCACCCAAGGCCACACAGTCAACAAATCACCCTGCGCTCTGCAGAATCCAGGTCCTGCGTGCATCACCTCCGTCCTCCCTGTGACTCTGCAAGGTGGGCTCTCTCGCTCTTTCCTTTGGCCTTTTGTTATTTCTGAGGGCCACGGATTCTGGAACAGCAGCCGTGCTGGGAAGAACAGGACACAGGGGGCCTAGCAGGAAATGCCAGGTACTGAATGGAAGGTGGGGGCTGAGGACCAGTTAGCACTTCTGTGCCACAATGCACCCCGAAGGGTGGAGTTGCCTAGAGACCTGGCGAGGCAGGAGCCAGCTCCCCTCTGCAGTGGCCATGTGTTCACCTTGGAGCTGGATGTGGCTCTGGGCATTGCTTACAGATGGAAAGTGGCCAGAGTCCCAGGAGGGAAAACAATCACTGTGTTGGTGTCCTGCCATCCCTCTTTGGTGTCCCTGGGCCATGAGAGAAGGTTAAGGCTGAGGGCAGAGATGTGGTCTTGGGGCTTGGTTGCTTCTTGGCACTAGGAGTGAGCTTATGGGTGTCCTGCAGTGTTTGTCTGGCACTCACAACCAGTGAGGAAATTGTCTTCTGCTAGGAACGCTCCTGGATACTTAGTCTCCCTGCCTGCAACACACATGCACAGGCTTGGGGAACCCTGGGGCTGAGAAATCCACTTCCAAGCACATATTCAGCACCTACTCTGTACCAGGCATGCCCAGCCAAAACATCAGCTGGGGATGTTGCTGTGTGAGCTTGGCAAGTGCCTTCACCTCCTCGAGTCTCAGCTGCCTTAGCTGGAAGGTGGGAACAATGATCTCACCTGCCTCGCAATCCTGTGGGCAGAATTAACGTGACTGCGGGAATCTCAAGTGGGATCATTACGACTGCAAAAGCCCTGGTCAGCAACTGAGACCCTACAGGGATTTCATTTTGGTTTGGTTTTTTGGTTTTTGGGTTTTGTTGTTGTTGTTGTTGTTGTTTGTTTGTTTCTTTTTTTTTTTTTTTTTTTTTGAGACAAGGTCTCACTCCGTTGCCCAGGCTGGATGCAGTAGTGCAATAATAGCTCACTGCAGCCTCAACCTCCTGGTCTCAGGTGATCCTTCCACCTCAACCTCTGGAATAGCTGGGACTACAGGCACACCACCACATCCGGCTAAGTTTTGTGTCATTTTTTGGTAGAGACAGAGTTTTGCCATGTTGCCCAGGCTGGTCTTGTACTCCTGGACTCAAGCAATCCTCCCACCCTGGCCTTCCAAAGTGCTTGGGATTACAGGCGTGAGCCACCGTGCCCAACCTGAGACCCTATAGTTAAATCATCTGAGTCTTCCGAATCTCAGGAGAAAAAGAAGAGGGAAAAGAGTACATGCTGACGTACTTAGTAAATCATCTGAGAGAGATAAGCCAAGATTGCAGGCACGGAGGAAATCTTTCCCAAGTATTTCCTCCCAGCCTGAGGTGCCCTTACACTTCCTGAAGGGCATCTTTTGATGGAGAGAAGTTGTAAATTTTAATGAAGTCCAACATATCAATTTCTTCTTTCCCAGTTAGGGATCCTTGTGTCCTGTTGAAGAAACGCTTGTCTCACAAGGCCATGCAGACTGTCTCCATGCTGCATGCCCAAGCATGGCATCCGCCTCAAGTCATTTTTATGTACAGATGAATTGAGGGCCAAGGTTCGTAGCTCTCCATGCGGCAGTCCCATAGTCCAGGCACGATGCACTGAAAACTGTTTCTGTTCCCAGTGAACTGCAGCGGTGGCCTTTGGGTATAGCGTACCACACAGTCATAAAAATGAGAAGTCACTGCCTCATGCAACAGCATGGGTGAAGCCGGCCGACGCGATGGTAAACAGAAGGAGCACGTGCCCGGGGATCCTATTTATGTGACATTCCAGGGAGGCCGCGCTGACACAGGCCGGGGTTGGTCACCTTGGGTGGGTGTGGCGTGCCTTCTTGGGGGTGGAAATATTCTTGATCTTGATCTAGGTGGTGTCTCCACAGGCGCGTGCAGACGAGAAAAACACGGAGGAGCTGTGCTGTTAAGATGAGCACGCTGAAGGGCCTGAATGCTGTACACAAATTTAAAAGAATGTTTCTAAAGTGCAGAGGAGGAAAAGATGAAACCCTCAAACAGAGGGTGTTTGCTGGGGAAGCTTTGAAGAGGCTTCTGAAAGGTGAGGACTGAGAGAGAAAAAAAGGGGCAGCTCCTGCCACCTGGAAGCTGGCTCATTGCTCACAGCTGGGCCGTGCCATCCTTCTGTGGGACATAAAGAATCTCACGAAACCAACCTCTGCCAAGGGCGCTCTGAGACCAAGATAAAGAGAGACAGAGTGAGGTCACTGGACAGAAGCATGGTCCCTGCATCACCCACGGAATATGAAACACCCCCTCTCGACTCCTTCCCTTGGCTTAAACGGGTGACTGCTAGGCCTCCACCAATTCTAGCTCATCCTCCTTCTAGTCTCCCTCCCTGCAGGTCAGCATTACTGAGATCCACAATCATAGAATTGCCCCCACTTTCTGACAGCAGCCAATCTAATGAACCCTCACTTCCTCAGACTCTCCCCAAATCACCCTCCCAAAGCCCCAGTCCTATAATAGGTTCTTTCTAGTGCCCTCCTACTGAGACACCCACCCTTCCCCATGGGGGTGCCTTCTCCCTCTCTGACTGGAGGGCCCTGAAATCTTGCAGGATGATCAGATGAAAATGAAAAGTCCCTCAGAGCAGTCTGAAGAATGTGACGCATGCAAAATATGTCAGGCCCACGGAGGTGTTTTTGTCCTTTCTTTCCTCG